TCCTCCACCATGATCGCATTCCCTCTCGACTCTGTCTTGACCAAAGCGCTAGGCACCCACCACCTGCACCATTCCTTCCCCGATTCACGCGTCACAAGGGTACTCCCATGTGCCCGCCAGAGCCTCGACACGCCCGTAGTACCGCATAGCTGAGACGGCGAACCAGCCTTCCCATTCCGCCCATTCCTCCCATTCCTCCGCCACCAGCGACTGCGCGCAAACCATGATGGACACAACCGATCGCGGGAGCTTATACGAGCACGACATCCCGTCGCTGAGCGCGTCGCTCGAAGCATTCGACCCGGAGCGCAGCATGCACTCGGCCTACAGCGGCCGCTCCAACATGCATTCGTCGCGCTGGAGCGTGCCCCAGGACGAGGTAGACAGTGAAACCGAGTCGGACGGGCCATGGGCGCCTCCAGCATGGCAAAAGTCGCAATCTAGCAATCACTGGTACAGAAAGTCGCTGCTCGGTGAAAGCGCCATGCGCAACAGCCCGTCCAAGTCGCCGTTTGAGTACCGCACCGATCGCGACGTCACACCCTCGCGCATACCACTGCCCGAGTCGCCCTACAAGCAGACACCGCGCACCAGCCCAGAACCCATTCCCGAGGAGGAGCAGAGATACATGTCGACCAACATCGCGTCGCGACTACAGAGCCCGGAGGAAGAGCCGCAAGCGAGCGCGGGCGCATTGGCGGGGACCGAGTCAACGCTGTCGCAACATGACGACGGAGGGCCAGTCGAGGGCTGTAAGTACTGAGACCCAATGCGCGCTGTGTATACTGACAGCCATAGTCATGCGCTTTGCGTACAGAGGAGAAGCTAAGTTCCGCACAGCGCCTATCGAAGATACAATCACCACTTTCGCAAGTGGCCTTCACGTCTTTACGAGGTCAAGAGCCAACCTCATCTTTACTGTCGCGACTCTTTTAATGTCTTACCTATTACTACATCCCTGGCAAGCCAGTCTTATTCCAGATGTCGCCAATGTCGCCAGCATGGCGAAACAGTTTGAGCCTTTGCTATACGCTTCAGAAAGTGTCATTCCACGGTCGCGCGAGCTCGCAGACGCCAGTATCGCCGTGCAAGACCTGGGAGAGAGCGTCCGTGCGACTAACATGTCTGCGTCGCCTGTCATCATCGATCAGCTAGACGACCTAGGCGATAGTCTCAGGATCCTATCCGAGAAGATTACCAGCTTCTTTACCAACGTAGATGGCGACATGGACTCGTAGGTATAGCCTTCTTGACCTCGTACACCTACTGATAACTGTAGCATCCTCATTACTATGGAATGGGCCAAGCGAGAGCTAGCAAGTATTCAAGGCCCAAAGGTTGGCATGATTGACACAGTCATCGACAATGTCCACGGCGGCCTCAACGCGATTGGCCTGCTTGAGCGCAACGGCGAAGCTACAGCCGTTGGCCGTGTTGTCAACGATATCCTTGGACACACTACACAACAGCGGTCGAAAGCTACCCTGCAGCGCACGTTCGACTACCTCCTGACCACTCTAGAGGAGAACATTGCAAATGAGCTCGCGCGCGCAGACGTCCTCTTCCAACTCTTCGAGAGTGTAGACCGCCAATTCCACAACCTCCACCGCTCCGTCGCCAAAGAAGAAGACTCGCTCGCAAACCGCAAAGACGAGTTCCTCGCTTCCATGTGGCGCACCTCCATCAACAACAAGATGAAGATCAAAAAGTACGAAAAGAATCTCAAGCTACTCAAAGACGTGCGCGCATCGACACTCATCAACAAATCGGAATTGAAAGTGCATATCCAAATCATTCATTCAGTCAGGGACCAGCTAGACAAAGCACGCAAGAACCTCATCAGTCCTCTCATCCGCGCTGCGCAGAGCAACAGCTTTGGCTTGGACCAGCAGTTGAACGACCTGACGGGCACATATGGGTTCCTCAAGACGCTGAGAGACGACCAGAAGAAGAAGGTTCGACAGCAAATGTGGGGCGAGCCCAAAAAGCGCATTGCCATTACTGCTGGTGGCAAAGAAGAGGAGATCGAGGGGGACAGCGAGTAACTCACCCGCTTACCTCTAGTCTCTCTCTTTCTTCCTCCTTTTTGAATACTGTTTTTCGGCGTTCAAATGCATAGCTTACGGCTCTTGTCTGGCTACTACTACTACTGCTGCTTCTTTCTTGATCGTTCTAGCATGGCGACTTGGTTAGATAAAGGAGCGGTGTCCTGCTTATACTTATCGCGGCGTCTGACTGATGAGATATGTATCGTGGCGTATTGGACATATCACATGTACGGCATCGTTGCCTTGATACTTTTGTTAGGGACATGGGCTGGGTTGAGGCGTTTGTGTTGTCAACAGCTTTGTACAAGCATTACTACTATCACATACTGATATCAATCTATACATAAATATTATTGTGCTTGCGCCGTTGTCGAGAACGAGACCTGGGATGTGGTAAGCTAGAGTTCTGTACAGTGGCTTACATGTCGCTACAGGTGCGGACTTGTTCCGCTTGTCTGACAGTACCTAGGTACCTGGCGAACGTCAGCCGCCCCTTGCTGATTACCACATAGTATGCTTAGGCAGCCAGACTACATTTCTATATATATGTATTATATAGCTACCTCACTACACTGCGCAATAGTCCTCAGGATCTCGACTTGAATCATTACACAGACAATACACTGGACGCTGCATAACTCGAGGCTACATCTCCCTTTCCATCATCTCTTCTCTGGTCTCCTTTCAGCATTCAACTTATACCACGACACGCTGCAAATCCAGCCGAGATGCCTAGGCGTTCCCATCGCTCCAAACCCAGCCCCTCTCCTACGATCTTAGACCCTCCTCCCCCAGGAACCCAACCTGTCATCCGCCCAGGGCCCTCCGCAGTAACCTACCACATCCCCGTCTCCCCTTCCTCTTCCACTCAATCCCCATCCAAAACCACAATCTCCCTGCCCCGCCACTCAAAATGGACATCAGGCCTCCACTTCCACACCCTTCACACAGAATACTTACACCTCGTCCGCGGCTCCATCTTCGTGTGTCTCGACGGGAAAACTGCCATCCTGAGCGCTGCAGCCGGTGGCGAGGTATGCGTTTACGGCAATTACAAGACTGAACCCGGACTAGTTATCCAGGTCCCCAAGTACGCACGGCATAACTGGGGGAGAGCGAGAGAGTATCTGGCGAACCACAGACCATCGTGTGTTACACCACGATTTCCGGTTGATATCGACGACGAGGTTGTGGTGGAGGAATGGACGGATCTGGCGGATGGGGAGAAAGCGCTTTTCTTCTGGAATTTGAATGGGGTTGTTCAGGCACCTTCTAACACGACACTGCCTCCGCTTCAGCATTTTGCGCGATGGGTGTTGGGTGCCTGGTGGGTAGAGTTTCAGCTATGGAATGTGTTTTGGGAGTTGGATAATTGGCCTGTGGTGCTGGGATTGAGGAACATGTTGGGGGCGGAATGGTACGGGTGGCCGTTGCCAGAAGGGGTTTATCTGAGGGTTAGACATGTGTGGTCTGGGGTGCTGTGGGTTGGGCGGTGGAAGAGGAAGGTGGAGGGGTGGATGGAATGGATCGTCATACTGGTTCTGTTGGGGTTGGCGAGGGGCATTGGATGGGTAGTAGACATCAGGGCTGTGGAGAAGGAGAGGACGCCAGCGGCCTTATGGGAGGAGTACCAAAGAAAGGGACGTAGCGGCTGACTATTGTAAACATGTTTTGAAATCTGGATATGTCCTACCAACGCCGCTCCAATCGTGTGTGAAGTATGCAGGCCATAACGCTCCGTACTCGTATCCATACCCATCCGTACCTGACGTCTCTTTCTTAACCAAAACGACCATATTCCAAGTCTTCCTCTCCACTCCGCATCTCTAGATGAGATGCTTGCTCCTGAAGTAGGCGCGGAGGTACACAACCTGCCAAGCCCCCAATCCAACCAACATACCCATAGTGCCCAGCGCAAACCACTTGACCCGCTCATTGGTGCTCTCATTGGTATCACGCAGCTTCTGCTCGCGACTCCTCAGGTAATCCATCTCGGTGACAATCTCGCCAACCGTCTCCTCGATCCGCCTGAGTTCCGCTTCTACAGGCTTCAGCTTGTCGACGGCTTGGATGGCGTTCCAGTCCTTGGCGTCGGCGCCAATGTCAATGTCAAGCTCGACGTGGCGGGGTGCGATGTTCTTGGACGAGCCGGACGAGGTGAAGATGTTCTCGAAACATACGTCGAAGGCTGAGTCGGCGTGCGAGGTGAAGGCGTAGCGGTTCTCGCCCACTACGTCTTTGGGACGGTGGTAGTCGTTGCCCATTGCGTCGCGGATCTGTTTGTTGCTGTCAGTAAGGTCTCCAGGCAGTATAATGCTCGCATGATGCTGGTTTGTTGACATTCGCGCTGGAATTGCAACGTACATGCATATCCACTCTCTGGCCATCTCCGCGGTATCCATCCAGAATCGCCGTGACAACCACCAACTGGTCTTTGGCAACAAAGTTCCTAACGCATCGCTCGTACTTGGCCGAGTCGTGTGGTGCGACCGGGTGGAGGTCGAATTTCAGGGCCGCGGCGAGGGGGAGGATTGCCAGCAGCACGCAGCTGAGAAGACGTGCTAACCGGTCCATGCTAGATTGGGGATGTGTGGGGAGCTGCAGCGCTTGCGGACTCGAGTTGTTGCCCTCTTGGTGGCTCCGCGAATTGTACAGCTGTCGCAAGACCGCGCGGAAGGACAGATGGTCCGACTGTAAGCTAGCGCGGAGTGGGGAAGGCGCGTGCGGACCCTGAACCAGAACAGCGACTGGGAGGAGCGTGTCTTGCCATCACTCTTTCAGCTTCAATATGTTGAGACCACGAATTTGCGCCAACTTTTCAGGAATATAACGTTACAGCTTTGAAAGCTTATCGAAAACTAGACTATTTCGTAACGGCGTTAATCCATACCAACGCCAACCTGTCGCTGAGAACGCTCAAAAGACATATCCTACAGTACGACAACACCCTTCTTACCAAGCGGTAGTACCGCCATCCAGCTTCAGATCATGCCCAGTCATGTAGCTGCTCGCCTTGCTCAACATGAACAGTCCCGCAGCCTTGTACTCTTCAGGGGTGCTGAGCCTGCCCAACATGCTGTTGTTCTCCCATTCCTCGCGGCTGGCCTCGCCCTTGTCGAAGTTGGCTGCAGAGGTAGAGGTACGAAGTCAGTATATGTCTCACATGCACTTCGTACAGTCAGAACTTACCTTGCACCATCGGCGTGACGATATGACCTGGGCTCAAAGAGTTCACTCGGATACCCCCTGAACCATCTGGATTCTTTCGCCCCCACTCCATGGCCAAGTTTCGTGCCAGCTGCACCACGGCCGCCTTGGACGAGTTGTAAACGGGCGCGATGAAGCCTCGGTTGGCAATGGTGCCACTCATGCTTGCGACCAGGCAGATCGAGCCCTGAATCTTGTATTCCATCATCTGACGGGCGCATTCTCGGGCTGCTAGGAACACGCCGGTATAGTTGACGTCGAGCATCTTTGCGATGTCTTCCTTCTTGAAGTCGATCGCGGGTGTGACTTGCTGGATGCCGGCAGCTGGAGAAGGGATGGTTAGCATTGGAGTTCCGAAGTATTTGAAGAATCCCGTACCTGCAATGAGGCCGTCAAGCCTTTGGTGTTCCGAGGCAATGTCGCCAATGCACTTTCGCATCGCCTGCTCGTCTGTAACGTCCACCCTATGGTACTGCAGACCTGCACCGATGTTGCTCTTGAGACGGCCCTGAGCCTCTTGGAATGCTTGAGGGGGCTCTGGTAACCGGTCGAGACAATGCACCTTGCCACCAGCCTCTACGAGCCCTTCGGCCATGCATAGTCCCAATCCACGACCTCCACCTGTTGATACGTTAACACGGGTTACAAAGGCATATTGTCTGCTCTGGAGATGGGAGGAGGACGGCATGCTGCACCTGTAACCACGAACACTTTTCCGTCGAGGTCGAATTGGCTGAACCGCTTCTCTCCAACAGTTTCATGTTTTTCGTATGGAACTTGGGGATAGGTTGCGTCTTGGTGTGAAGCGAGACCTCGACGCTGAAGAGGGGTCGTGCAAGGCTGAAGTCGGAATGCAGGTGGCGCTGGGCGCGCGAAACGTCGAAGCAACATTCTCGAAGACCGGAAAGCTGCCATAACTGATGTTGTGTATTCGCAGACTGATAGTCGAAAGTAAGAAGACAAGACGAGAGGAAACACAATGTTGAGTGACAAGCCAGGGCGCTCCTGTGCTGACATGTATATGTCACACAGGCATGATGTAATTGCAGCTCATACGCGTACCTCCCCTTCCTTCACCTTGGCTGACCGACAAAGCATCGTGACTTCCGCGGCGACCCAGCCGCACGATTCGTTGAGACCCTAGATGAACGCCGCTGCAGACGAGCAGGGCAAAAGCTTGATGCTAGGCGCGTGACCGAGACACGGCATAAGATTTGGTAACGATTAGCTTACTGGGCTTGCCACACAGACGTACGAGCATCAATCTCACGATGTTGGCACCTGCAGGCACGGCTGGCTTGCGTGGTCTGAGTGGGTCGCGCCTGTTCCCAACCGGTATCCGGAATGCGGGGCTGTGGAGACACAGGGCTGGGTGGTAGTTGTGGTGATTGGTCGCGGATAGTGTCGCCAACACGCCAGAGGTACATCATTCTGAGCAAACATGGGAATTCTGTGCTTGATGCGTTATCTGAGATGGAGAAGTTCTCATTTTTCCATGATAAGAGTCTGACCGCGCAGCATGCACGGTCGTGGTAGCGGCTGCTGTGGAGAAAATGATCCGCTTTGCCATGGGATTCACGTCAGGCTTTCGCGTGTTCCTTGCATTGCAGGATTCATTTTTCACGATAGAATGGCCTGGGCACCTCGAGAAGCGATCACATCGTGATTTGGTTGACCGGGCTTACTCAGTTGAGAAGCACACGTACTTGCACAATGCAACACAACGCGCTACATAAATCATACCGTTGCTATCTAAGCAAGCTTGACCTGAACCTACGGGTTGCTAGATACATGAGTATGACGGTGTAATCATGAATGGTTGGAGGCAAAACGCGCCATTTTTGCGCAATCCGCAAAGCTTTTAATCAAATATTGCAATATTTCTAGGCAGTGATAAAGCTTTTAACTATGAGGCACGAACGCTTTCTGCATCCATTACATGCGGCGTGTGTGCAAATACTCATTGCATCTATTCTGGCAGATTAGTGTTTGCGGACCAAGTGACAGTTCCAAGAACTTCTCTAGTCGAGATGGCTATTCTCTCGTTACACCCATGTTTCTGCCGCTTATCTTATGGTTAATACCACGATGTGATTCTACACACTCTGATGTTTTGTCTGAGCAAATTTCCATTTTTTGGAGGGATGAGAACCTCTTTGGATGCTAGGAGGCCGATCAAATGCCACGGAACCTGAATCGATGCTCATGATACTGTACATGCTTTTACGGCGCACAGTTGGTCTTGAAATTGTAAACTTTTTCGCATGCTGTGCTTCAGTGTTGCACTTTCTTATGATTTCATATTGCTGCTACCCCATGACTGTTCTCAAGTGCGATCACTAAATTGACAACGCAGGCTCTGGAAATCCAGATCATGAATGCGGTGTTGAGGCTTTACATCGAGTGCATCGGAAAGTCTCTTGGGGTCCTAAGTGTGTCGAGCAAAAACGAGTCGCGGTGGAAACATGAAAATGCAATATCCAATATTCTTGGGTCAAATCCGAGGGGCAAGATAGTGAGACTAGTGGACTAAGGTGGGGTAGATGCAGCATGTCTCGCTTCGGAACGCTAATGCGCCAATTCTCGGCGCAGCCCCTTTGTTTCCAAACCCGCGATATAAACGCACCAAAATCACAACCTTCCATCAATCATCTCTTCAAGAGATCCATCGGCCTGATGGTCTAGTGGTATGATTCCTGCTTTGGGAAATCACGTGACCGTGATAAGCCTATTCTGCAGGAGGCCCCGGGTGTAAGTTCACCCATTAAGATTCGAAATCGAACGCAAACTAATAGCGTCTAGTCGAATCCCGGTCAGGCCCCAACTTCTTTTTTTGCAGCATTCTACGCATGAGGAGATCAGGTATGAGTTGCGTGTGTGACTCACATCTTTCTGTTTCATTTTATTTTATTTTTTCATTTTTTAATTGCGCTGGTCTGGAAACGCTAAATGGAGCGGTTGAGCAACACGTTGTATTATCGCAACGCAAACACACTGTAATAACTTTACGCAGCTGTGTACCTATGTACCTTTATTCTTCGCGGATTCAATATCAACTAAGAAAGGATTAAGAAAAGCACACATACGAGTGGGTTGCATGTGACGTTTGATCGCTGTGGCTATTGTCGCAGCCTGACTGCCGCGCAGAAGAGCAATAAGCTCACGAAGTTACTTTACCAATACCTACTTGTCATCAACTTCAACCCCTCATCTCCAAATTCGCGTATACCCCTCTCCTCCACCCGCGTCCTCGTCCGAAACGTCTTCTCAATCTTGCCAGTCTTCAAATTCACGCCCTCATGCTCGTACTGCTCTCTCTTCATCAAACAACCTTCTATCGCCCATTTCGGCACCGCTTCCTCAAACCTAACACCTTTTTCCTCTAGCATCATACTAACAAGATCCCTCGTCTTCCTCCCATTCATCTCCTTAGTCGAATACATAGTCCTCGCAAAAGCAGAAACAGAATTCCTCACAGCATCATTGCGACAGCGCCAAATAAGGTTATTCAGCGCCTCTGCTATGTCAGGCACAGGAAAGAACCTTGCATCAAAATGCGCCGTCCCCAGCACTTCTTCCACATCGCCCTTGACCTCCGGCTCAGGCATGGCCTTCAGAGCATCAGTGAGATGCTTGTTGAATCTCACGGAGCAGTAGCTAGCGCTTAGACTGCACAGCTTTTGCACTCGCTCATTGAAAGTCTGCACGCCTTCTGGGAAGACTAGGGTGATTTCATCGGATTGAGTGTATGCGACTGTGGCTCGAGGGAAGAAATGGAGGAGATCGGCGCAGGTTGATGTCATTGCGGTGTGTATGCGCTCGTCGAATGGACGCGCGAAATGGGAGGTAAAGCGTGAGAAGCCATGACCATCCAGGCGGAGAATGATTGGTTTGTCGAGTGGGAGGGTTTGGTCGAAGTGTGCTTCGTATGATTTCATGCGCGCTGCGAGTGATAAGGGTTTATCGGTGCGCGGTGTTCGTGGTGTCTCGACGTCGTTGCGGTCTGACATGGTTTCGGTATTGGTGTTGAGAATCTTGTAGGTTGGCTGTATTGGCTGTTGGGATGTAAGACTACGCCTACCTTCACCCTAGATTAACGATGACTCATCAGCCTCACGTGTTTTCACTTCAGTTACTTCCTTAGGGTCGTTATGGTGGTCACGTCACGATGAAGGACGGATCGAAGGGTATTTATGAAGCGGCATTATCCTTCATAGTATTATGTACATCATAAAAGCTTCATGTTCAGCCATCCCAATAATGATTCCCAGCTTAAGGCAAGCACGAAAGGATCGGCTTGAGCTTGTTGATAATCTCAGTCTGAACCGCAGCATCGTTCATAGTCGTCTTGTCGTTTGCATCGCCAGGGCTGATGGTAACGTAGCAGTCGCTTCCACGGATCAAGATGACGTCCGCCTCCCACGGCAGGCGCGTGCTACCGCACCATTCGGCATCGCGAGCGCTCAGAAGACCCGTGTTGATGCGAGTAAAGATGTACTTGAACTGGCTGGGGTCGCTGCACTTGGTCTCGGATACAGCGGGAAAGTTGACGTTCAGGAAGGAGTTTGCTGGGAGGTATGGCTTTCCAGAGTTGATGATAGTCGTGGTAACGTTCAAAGCCAGGTCAGCATAGACCTTGCTATGGAAAGGAGTAGGTGCGTTCCATGCAGTAGGGTCTCCCGTCACGCCAGAGAAAGCGATGGCTGGGATCTGAGCCGTCTTTGCCGCGAATGCAGCGGCGCCGACTGTGCCGGAGAAGGGAACCTGAACAGCAACATTGCTCCCGACGTTCGGTCCGGTCAGGGCGAGTTCAGGCCTTGCGCCGTTCCAGAGCTTGGGAGCCGTGACATCGATTCCCTCCTTGATCGAAGTGACTGGGAACGAGTTGACGTAGTTTAGGCGAGGGTCTGTCGCGTTTGCGCCGGTTGGCGGGCTTCCTCCTGGGCAGGACGCATGAATGCAACCGTCTGAATCAACGGTTTTCGGGGGTGCGTCGGAGGATCCTGATATAAGTCAGCATGTGTATATGGCCATGACTCGACTACCAACCTCTGCCAGACTGGTTCTCGGCGGGACCAGACAATACGACTTCGTGACCAGCAGAGTTCAAGACGTCGAAAAAGGTGCGAAGGTTTGCCTCTGACCAACCATCATCGTTTGACTGAACGATGCGCACGGCTTGAGCGAAAGGAGCTGCCGCAGCGAGTAGTAGGAAGGATCGCATTTTGAGTAACGAATGGAAGATGATGAAGCGAATGTGTTTGACAGAGCGACCTGAGACCTATGCAAGTAAACAGCGCGCACCTGACGTTTATAACAACACCCTTCTCCCGATCTATCCTTACGCCAGCCACAGAGTCCCCAGTCTTGATCCACCGCTAATGTTCCAAGCATTATGCGAGCCGAACGGGCGAACAGAGGTCAGGAACACAGCCATGGCACACGCCGCAGTCTAGTCACAACGTGCGGGTAGCAGCGATCTGATTGCTCCTCGCATAAATGACCATGGTCGTGACATGCTGCAAACATCGGCTTTGGGGCTGTGAGTGGTTGTTGACCTCCGAAACGGAGACATTTCCAAGCCTTTGGGGGTGTCGCCCCTAGCGCCTCGGCTGCAGCCACTCAAATGGGCAGGAGCGCCCGGTAGTCTTTCGCACGTGTGAGGAGCTCGAGGTGTCATTCACGGAT